GAAGTGTAAAAGTTTTTATCTAAAATAAATAAAATGCATTCACATACCTGTTAAAATTGCAAAACTATTATTAGAAGCAGAGAATTTAAGAATCTTCTCATCTTTTGGAAGATCAATAGGTCTTGGTACATATGTCTCATCATAACCTGATAAATAGATTCTATTCTAATCAGTTAAGAAGAGAGAAAGATTATATCCTAAATCGAAATCTACAACCTTTTCATTTGGTTAGAAATATTTCAAATTGACTGGAGTTGGAGAATAATTTTCCTAATAAATAATGATTTGATTAATACTAAATCTGTAACAACATATTCTTATTATCTGACACCTAAAGAACCATAATAACTTCTTCCCCATCCTACTACAATTCCTTCATCTAAAAATAATTATTAATATTAAGTATTTACTTAATAATGCCAAAGTTCCAGCAAAACATGACTTTATCTTTTAGATTGTATAACCAGATTTAGTCAATTATTCAAAAATAGGATTCAATTCAGGATATTTGAAATTCAAACTGCATCCATTACCAAGTTCTCCTCTTTTACCAGCTCCCCATACATAAACTTAATTGTTTTCATTTACTGCAATTGAGTAGTTAATACCAGCACTCACAAATTTACCTTTTGGTGTTCCTACCAATTTCTATACAATTTATGGTTAAAGAAGATTATTAGTGTAATTATCACCTAATCCATTAGGTTTGCATAATAATTAATCTAAAATTGAATTATTAGCACTTCCCCATGTATAAATATTTCCATCAGCTGTAATATTATATATATTTATTACAAGCCAATGCTACTCCATGATTTGATCCTAATGCAACATCTACAACCTTTAATCCCTTATCTCTAAAGTATTTAACAAGTTATGGTGTTTATTATTATTCAGTATTACCCAATCCCAATTGTCCATAATTATTGTTACCAAATGTATACAAATCACCATTATCTTATAATTTATTTAAATATCAATACCTGTTATCACAGCTGTAAAGTATTCACTTGGATATACTTTTTATACATTTCCATTAAAAGCTTCAATTCTCCTTGGTCTTAATTGATCACATTATGAATCTTGATTGATTCCACATCCTAAACTGTGAACACCCCAAGTATACAAATTGCCTGCTCTATATAATGGACGAGTCCATAATGATTTAAAAACACCACTATGTGTTAAGCAATTCATTAAAATATTTATTACAAGATCTAATAATTCACTATTATATATAAAATATAAATATCAAATTTTGTTTGATTAATAACAACATCACATCTATCTATATAATCAGTATAATAATAAATATTTTCAAGATATATTTATATATACATAATATGAATATTATTTATATCAACGTTTCATTTACAAAAGAAATTTATTTTTCCAACTAAAACTATCTAATTTGAATCCAGTTAAACCATATTTCCACTTATATAATTAATACCAATAATTGTTCTCTATGAAGAGATCTCTAATGTTGAAACAACTTAATTCTAAATTAATCATATCTCCTCTTTTCAAATAACTATAAATCAAAATTGACATATCTCGATTTTCTACTATTCTCACTAAAACATTTTCTTTTTACTACTAAAATATTCTGTTTCTAATTAAATTTTCTA